ATTAGTTCTCTAAGGAAGTCTTAGTGCATTCTTATGACTAAGAAGAAGGGATCTTGAATTGTTGAAATGGTTAAATCAAGAAGATGAGTCATACTTCGTTCCAATACAAGTCTTAGAGTCATACTCCAAGATTGTAATTTGAGTGACATGTCTTAAAAAGGTTTAAAACACTTGACAAATGTAAGAGTAAAAGTTTTCTACTCTTGTACATTTGAAATTGGTAAGTTGTGATGTTTTGGATAAAACAAAGACCAACTTCGGCCAATTGTGTGAAGTGTTTGTCTTGATTAGAATCCACACTATCTCTTGGATGTTTGACAAGGAGTCTTATAGGTCAAGAGGACAGTGGGAGTCTTAAAGGTCTTGAAATCTCAAGAACTAATCAAGAATGAAACCTGAAGTTCTTCACTAGCACACGACTTGAGGTTTATAACCTATCGTGTTGACATATTCTGTGCCCATTCTAGTTAAAGTTGGCTTTGCATATGAGTTCTTAGAGTTCTCAATGTGTTGCACAACAACTTGGAAGCAATGGTAGGCCCTTGAGCTGCCAGGTGGCAAGAAATTAAGATTGAGTTCAGTCCATATGAGTTTGGATTTGTCATTATCCTTGTCTTGTGACTATGGTTTTGACAATTCACATGGATAGAACTCATACACCATTAAATCTAAGTGTCATAAGGTTTCTCTCCGATTCATGAAAATGATGGTGAGGAAACACTTTCACTAAGTAGATTTTAGTAGATAGCAATTGTGATATTTGCATTCTCAAAGTCGTTAGTGGAGCGTGTGTGGTTTACCGGCACACTAACTTGGACTTGTGAGAAATGGCAAAGGTCAAAACATCAAGACTATGATTACGGCATCCCTTTTCATAGTTCTTAAAATTGTTTTGACACACCCATAAGCTATCTAAGGGAAGGTGTATGTTTTTTGATAAAGTCTTATCAAAACAATCTAGTATCAGAAATCTGAACTTTGGTAAGTCAATAAAGTATTGATTTCTAGAAGTCCAGCTGATTTTTGAGTACATGTCAAAGCTAGTGGGAGCATAAGTGTTATGCTAATAATCATCATGTTAGTGGGAGCATGATAATTATGATAAGTATTGCAAGTTAGCAATGTTAATTATAGAAAACAAAAGGTTTCAATTGGGAAAAAGTTGTTTTGCTATAATTAAGGGAGAGGAAATTATACTTCATCTCAAATCTATAAGCTTAGATCGTGAGGTTTTAATCATTTAGTCAAGGATATATATGAATTTCATGTTGGAATGGCTCAACATAAGGAAATTCTGTATATGGGTCCATTATTTGCGTTCTTAAATTCGATTATGATTACGGCATCCCTTTTCATAATCTGAATTATGAGAACTTGGCAAATAGAAATGGAAATGTTATAGCAAAAGACTGGTTTAGTCTTTATGTGAGACATCATGAATCGTGTCCCATATGCTTCGGATATAGGATCGATTACATGTGCTATATTCATCCTTTCTAAAATTTTCCAAATGCCTGGGGCATTAAGAAGGGAAAAGGTTTAGAACTGGATATGACTAAAAGGATTAAACAATTGTCGAGGACAATCTAAGGTTTACCAAAGATTGGTTGCTCAAGGACAGTTGGAAGTATAGTGATAATTCTGGAAGGACCATATTGACATAATCTGTAAGGAGGCAACTCTTGTTCAGAAGTGATAGTCGAAATGGAATCTGGAAATGTTTCAAAGTTAGAATTTTCAATCTGTGTAAGATTAAGGAAACTTAATGCAAGAAGGATGGTTCCAAGGACTTGATCTCCTTTGGAATGCTCTGTAATGATTGTTGTTAAGTCTTTCTGACTTTGTGCATAATCATTACAAGAGGATCGATGCATATAAGTTTAGAATCTAACAGATTTCAGTAAATGACATGAATTTGGAATTCTTGCATTTGCAGTAAGGATTTGGGAGTGTGAAAAGAGAATCATTGAAGTTATGTTCAATTGATCTAGTTCACAAAATAAAGATCATAGACAAACATATTATGCATACTTGGTGTATGGCATGACTAGTGTTTAGAAAACATAGTGTACATGCTTGGAGCATGGGACAACTATTGTTTTAAATTCAAGAATAAAGTTGATAGCTGAAACAATATACAATGAATAATGTGTAATCATATGGTGATAAATAAAAGTGTTTTATTTATATTCATAAGTTCTGAGACCATATTGGATTCAATTATTATTGTGTTTCACTTTGCATGTTTTGACTTCCCGAATAAACTAGGTTATTCTTCCGGAATGACTAAGTTATTCAAACCATCCACAGTCGGTCATATGTTGGAAGTAGATATGAATTAAGACTGTCATGGGTTGGCTTGTAGAGGTCTAAGTGTTGGACAAAGGCTACAACACTCATGAGTGCTCATAAGTTCTGAGTATTGGATTCAACCCGCGCTCATTGGAATCACTTCATGGATTTTATCACGAGTGATCATGAGACGATAATATCTTATATTCTTCAAACCTAGAGATATGAGTTGTTACTATGAGTTGGTTGTACATTGATTGCACGAAACGCATTTGGTAACTCGGTGCTATAAAACGTGTCTTTGTGTATGATTCAACAAGTAGTAGAACAAGCCATATGAGTCGAAGTTTATCCATTCCTTTTACCTTCGGGATAAAAGCGATATCTGTGGGCCCCTCGATGATTTGATGATGACAAATGGAAGTGCTCGGCCGGGCCAGGACTGATTTGATTTGTTCAATTAGTCAGTCGTCATAAATCGGAAATCGGGAAACAACAAATGGACAGAGAGAATGATTATAATCCATGTCTCAGTCCATATGATATCTAGAATGGAGGAATATATGATCCCTTATCTAATGGACAAGTCATTGACAAATCAGAGTTCATCTACAAGGTCAGAGTTCGACAGAAGCTTTTGAGAGCTACGATTGCTAGTTGGTTCCTGAAGTCATACGCAATAATAGTTTTAGACTTATCCAAGTGGGAGACTGTTGGATTAATGTCTAAGTCCATAACTATAATTGGTAAGACTTGACCCGACCCGGCATGGTCCATTTGGGTTGCATGGCATCATGCACTTGGATAGACTATAATGAGAGAAATAAGACACTTATGGTTATTAATATATTATAAGTTCTAGTATATTAATAATAAGAATAATAAGATTATTTAATTAGTATTGATCAAGAATTAATCTAGGATTAATTAAGTGATCAAAAGAAGACTAATTAAATATATGGGTTGATTGTGTAAATCATCCATACTTATATAGTGGGCTAATGCTCCATGGATTATCTAGTTGGGCCAAAACCCATATGATGCTCCATGGATGCTCCATGGTGTATTTGAACCCATGGATCCAAGGAAATGGAAAGTCATGACAATTAGGGTTTACCCTAATTGTAACACTATATAAAGATATTATTCTTCCCAAAATCGGTGACTAGATTATTCTAGAGAGGGCTAACCGATTTCATGAAGTGTTCTAGTTTCTCTCTAAGTTATTCCAAGTGCTTATGGTGTTGTGTGAACCATTTGAGGTGTCACACTTGAGGCACTAGGCACTCAAGCTTCATGAAGACAAGCACTATCAAAGAGGTATGTATTCTATCTTGTTATATCCATTATTTTGTATGCTAGATTAGGATAATACCTTGGATGTTCATATTTGCATGTATAATAGAGAAAACATAGATCCAAGGTATTTAGGGTTGCATGTACACTTAGGAGTGTTAGAATGCTCATAACCCAACACCAAGATGTATTACTTTTAAAAAGAGAAGAATATCACATTCCCCAAATATGTATTTATAAAGAAAGATTAAATATCCTCTTATATTTTATTTTCTATTCGTCTTCTTATCATATACAAATGATGACAAGTGGATTAAATTAGTATCAATTTCATTAAATATATCATTAAATGTGACACATGTCAACATTTGATATGGTAGGAGGATAGATAAGAATAAAATGTAGATATATATTTAATTTATCATTTATAAAATATACAAAATACGACATACTACTTTCGTTTCATTTCCCTTTAAACCATTTTACTTTACCAATTAAAACATATCACTTTCCTTTTATTTCATTTTCAAACATTGGACTTTGAAAATTTACCAATCATAACATCCTTTTTCATTTTAAATATTTTTAAAGCACCCCACTCTCAAAGTTTACCAATAGGTGCATTTTTTTTATTAACGAACTATTGTTCTATATAGATCTCTAACCAACATCTAGAAGTTGCGATTCTACAAAAATCTGATATGCGGGTAGATATACAAAATGCATGATAGTATTTTTGACTCGTTGCTTTGTAATATGTCAACAAAACAATTTCAAGTGAATTACACATTTTTTTTATTAACAATTTATATAGGTGTTAATGATTTAAATATTTGTTATAGGACATGCTTGGGTCTGTAAATTTATAGAAAAATTTCGAGATGTAATTTAAATCATTTCCTTGACTTTTACTATTATTTTTTATTAATTGAAAAAATATAGTTTACAAGAAAATTAAAAAGATTCTATCAACACAATCATATAGTTTTTGGTAATTTTGATATTATATATTTTTTGTTATACAAATTGAAAACTACCGTTACAACATCTATATTTTTTCCATTTCATGGTTCCACAAATTACCTTTTGCCCTACAACATGTTGTTAGATTTTTGTGTACATGACCTATCAAATATCAATAAAAAAAATCCTGATTCATACTACGGAAATATTTTTTTACAAGTTATCTTTTAATTTGAGAGAGAGACCAAATCTACTACGGTATGAAAATAGAAAAAGGATTGAGAGTTGTACAAAAAAAAAAAAAATCATCAAAAAACTACATGGACAAGTTTACAATTTACTCTTAATTTTTTCATTAGCCTTCACAATCGAGGGTGAAAACTTATGGGGACTAAGGCGTAATAAAGCCAAAACGTTGGGCGTCTTTCTATAGAGTCATACTGCAGGGACCTGAGGTGTATCATAGTCCTAGGGTTTCTTGTGCGCCTCTATATATCTTTCGTTTAGCCTGCTTCTCCCCCTCTTGCATTAGTCTGGCTGCAACGGCGAAGTACTGAAACCCTAAGAACAACAGCAGCTAAGAGCCGCAACAATGGCACAACCTAAAGTTTTGACAACCAAAGAGGCCGATATACAAATGATGCTGTCTGCCGAGGTCCATCTCGGCACCAAGAACTGTGATTTCCAGATGGAACGTTACGCTTTTAAGCGCCGTAACGACGGTATAAACTACTCTATTCTTCATGTTTTCTTTTTTTCATTCCATGTTCTATATCATAGATTTGTTTAGTTTTCGCGCGATGCTTTTTCGAGGGCTAGCCTCCTCTATTCATACAATGATTTCCAATTACGCTCTTATTTTCTTCAAATCGACTGTGGTTTTTTTTAATTTCATATCCGTATCTGTTATTATCAGTTAAGTGTGCAGTAGAATTCTGTCACAACCTAGACTAAAACGTACTAAACCTATTGATTTAGTAATCTCCGTGCGAATTTAATAATTTTTAACTTGCGATCCTGTAATACTGGTTGTTAGTCTCTTCAATCCTGTACTATAATCATAGCAATTGGTTTGTGATATTTTTTATACTTAATGTTGTTTTAAACAAAGCTTCCTGTTTTTCATTTTGAGTTTCTTTCCTAATATTACAAACAGTTCCCTTACGGATTAGATCTTGTTTTACAGGAATTTACATTATTAACTTAGGAAAGACATGGGAGAAGCTTCAAATGGCTGCCAGAGTGATCGTAGCAATTGAAAACCCTCAGGACATTATTGTCCAATCTGCAAGACCATATGGGCAAAGAGCTGTACTGAAGTTTGCTCAGTACACTGGTTGTCACGCCATTGCTGGGCGTCACACTCCCGGTACCTTCACAAATCAGCTCCAGACATCTTTCAGTGAGCCTCGTCTTCTTATCTTGACAGACCCAAGAACTGATCACCAGGTTAAAATTCTTAATATAAATTTCTGATTCAATCTTATTAATGTTTCGAGTCTTGTTTTTGATAAGCTTCTTTTTTATCACAGCCAATCAAGGAGGCTGCACTAGGAAACATCCCCACAATTGCTTTCTGTGACACCGATTCTCCCATGAGATATGTTGATATTGGTATCCCTGCTAACAACAAGGGAAAGCACAGCATTGGGTGTCTGTTCTGGCTTTTAGCTAGAATGGTGTTGCAGATGAGAGGTGTGATTAACCAAGGACACAAGTGGGATGTCATGGTAGGCATCATGATCATGATTCATGAGGACATGTGTTTGTTTCATTGTATAAAGTTTATGGTTTGATGAAATGAATTTGTGTTGTTTTGCAGGTTGATTTGTTTTTCTACAGGGAACCAGAAGAGGCCAAGGAACAAAATGAAGATGATGGTCCTGTCCCTGCAGATTATGTTGATTATGCAGCAGGTGCACTTGGCATGGGTGACAATTGGTCAGCCCAGATTCCAGATGCTCAGTGGGCAGGTGAAATTGCACCACCACCAATTGCTGGTGCCCCTGTGGTGGCAGGTGTTACTGGCTGGAGTGGGGCTGAGGGTAAGGATTCATGATAAATCAGTTGATTTTGTATTGTTTAAACTTTTAAGATGCGACTTGTGTTTTTCTGATTGTGATTTTTAAATTTGTTTAATCAGCTCCGGTGAGTGGTGGTGATGGATGGGAGGCTGTTGCTGCTCCGGTACCACAAGCTGAAGCTGCAGCTGCAACCGGGTGGGAATGAGACAAGATTGTTCTTCTGTGTTGAACTTTACTTTTTTGTCTTGTTTAAAACTAAGTATGCTGAGACTAGTTTTTATGATATGAGTATTTTTGATATTTTTCAATGTTCAAAATTTTTGATGGTTTTGTTATGATAGAGTTAAAATTTGCTTTCAGATTCTGTTTGAATGGAGAAACTTGATAAATTGATGAACAACATGTGTTTGCTGCTTTGATGTTGTTAATGTTTGTTTCATGTGATGTAAAAAGCGGCTGGGTCAACAAAACGTTATTTTGTTTCATAATCATGCGCTGCTGATATGCCTGCTGAGTCTACTCCCACCTCTGACCATCTCGAGTGCCAACCACCTCCTTCCATTGTTGACCTCCCTGAAGTTGACTCCTATCCTTACTTCCGACACTAAGCTTTGACAACATTGCCCCTTCTCCCTCCAACCCCTTCTCCTACCTCTCTAATCTACTTGTAACATCTTGTTGCAGATTGTTATGTGATTTAGGATTGTGGATTGCAATTCAGCTATATGTAGGCTTTGGGCCTTTTAAGAAAGAAATGTTTGGACTTCATTGAAAGATGTCATTGTTGGTAATGGGATCAAGGCCTATGAATTGTGTATTTGAAACTGAGGTTTTAAAGTTATGTGTTACGCTGCTTGTGAGAGTTAAGGTTTTAAGTTGGACATGCGGTAAGCCAAAACTATCGATATAGAAGTGTAGAGCTCTTTAAGACCTTTCCGTGGATAAAACATACGATGAATTCAGAGTTGAAACAAAGAAGTTCTGACTATTTGAAGTTGGAAATGATTTGGGAGAAAACTGATCTCATGACGTGAGTAGTGAATGAGGAAAGTTATGTGTTACGCTGCTTTTGAGAGTTAAGGTTTTAAGTTGGACATGCGGTGAGCCAAAACTATCGATATAGAAGTGTAGAGCTCTTTAAGACCTTTCCGTGGATATAACATACGTCGAATTCAGAGTTGAAACGAAGAAGTTCTGACTATTTGAAGTTGGAAATGATTTGGGGGAAAACTGATCTCATGACGTGAGTAGTTGGAGCTCACGGCGTGGGAATTGATTAAACGGAAATGTTGATTTAAACTGTGCTCACGATGTGAGCATTAGGAGCTCACGACATGAGATACGTTGCGGCCCAAGCCCACGATCTTTTAGGGTTTTCATCGAATTTAAATACTATAAATTTCATTTTAGGGTTTCAAACTAGCCTCTTTCGTCCCTAAACTTAGTAAAACCCTAACCATAGCCTCTCTTTGTGTTTCTTGAGCTTTTGGTGGAGTTTTGTAGGCTTGAAGAATAAGAGATCATCTTGGAAGCATAGTTGTAGCTTGGAAGCTTCATTTGCAACCTTTAGCCACACTTTTGGACCAATGTGAGTAATCAAGATCCAAGCTTTATGTTTACTTATTGCTAGATCTAAGGTTTTATGCATATTTATCCAAGATCTTAAGAGTCAAGAGTGTTGTGACTCCATAAAGTTGGCAACTTTATGGGTCCTTAGGGTCCCTAGATGCTTATATGTCATGGATCTGAAGTTTGAATGATGTTAGAGTTCATGCATGAGAATTTATCTTCTTTTTCTCCATGAATGACCTAATTTGAGCCCAAGTCTTGTATTTGACATAGAATACCTTAAATCATCGATTTTTATGATCCTTGGAGTGTTAGGAAGCCTTTTGGAAAAGATGGATTAATGTCTTAATGGATTAAGAAAATTTTGGATCAAAATGGCTTCTAGACTGATCTCATGACATGAGGAGATGCATGTCACGTCCTGAGTGTCTACTGACCATTGACTTTCGTGACTGTTAAAATTTTGACCAAGTTAAAGTCAAACTTGTAGATTTTGGGCTATTGATTGAGATTCGATTTGGTTCTGGTGTTAGTAGATTTGCAGAAGCAAACAATGTTGAAAATGGGTCATATCGCAGTGTTCAAAGTTCTTTCATTCTAATGAGTTTCCTTCACTGTACCCATGGTTCGAAGGCACCAATGACGGCCCACTAGTTTATGTTGTAGTATGATGGTTGATTTCGTGTCAAGTGTTAGTTATGCTTGTGTATGTTTGATGACTTTGTGATTATTTATTATTATTATATGATAGTGGTAGAGGTGAAATAGACCCAATATTCGGTTGAAATAGATCGAAGGGGATTGCAAACACCTATATATGCTTGACAGTATCTAGTTGAAATAGACCGAAGGTAAGTGTAAACACTCAGATATGTTTGATAGTATTCGGTTGAAATAGACCGAAGGGGATTGCAAGCACTCATATATGCTTGATAATATCCGGTTGAAATACACCGAATGGGAGTGCAAGCACCTATATATGCTTGATATTATCCAATTGAAATAGACCAAAGGGAGTGCAAGCACCAATATATGCTTATTTGTATGTTTGTATGGTATGAGATATCTTGCGGAACTTACTAAGCTTTATGTTTACTGTTTTCTGTTTATGTTTCAGGTATTTCTGGTTCAAAAGGGAAGAAAGAGTCTGAGACGATTGCAGTGCACACACCACCTTGTTTCGTATTTTTATGTTACTATGATGTACTTGGATATTATTGATACACTTTGATTTACCATGATTTCTATGATGATGTTTTGGATAATAGTTTTATTATATTAAAAACGAAAATTTTTAGTCTTAATTTTTGGGACGTTACATTACTGCTCCATCTGGCATTGACTTCGCCACAAGAAGCTTCGCCGCCTCCGCTAGCACCGCAACGACGATGACCTCATGTTGCAGGTAAGTTTTTTTTTTTTCCTGAAAAGTGAAAATAGATTCTCTGTAAATAGATCAATTGTTCTTTTTTTCCCTGAAAACTGATTCTTAGAAATACATGATTTTTTTTGCCCTAGAACTCGATTATCAGTCCTCAATTTTGATTTTCTTTGTATTTCATGCCCGATCCTATACTGGATTGTCATATGCTACATGTATCTGTTTCAAGATTTGTGTCTCAAATTCTTTATATTAAGATAGAAGATGATACACTTTGATAAACATCATTCATTGAATTTTAGGTTAATGATTATATGACTTTCCATTTAGCTTATTTGTTTCCTTGTTGAATTTGAATATACAGGTTGAAAGAAAATTTTGAGGGGCTATAGTGTTTAATGTAATGATGGTGAAAGAGTACAAATCGATCATCAATAGTTCGGTTGCAAGTTTTTTGACATTTATGTCTCGACATTCAATGTCAAATATGCTGTTTTTTAACTTTGAAATCCTTGGCATATCAAAAATTATTTTATTTCTGTAAATATATCTCAGAATATCATTATAAGTTATTGAAGATAAATTTTGATTTATATTAATTTGGATTTTGTATGGTTTTTATAATTATTTAGCAAAAATTAAGACAAAATGATAAAATGATCATTTTCATAATTCAGTACAACAATTCAGAAGTTCCAACAAAGCAACATGTTAAAAATTTAGATTTTAAAAATTCAGACCCTCTTAAAAATTCAGATATTGTCAAACAACCTTTTAACATGAAATAAGTGAGTTTGGATAATTGATTTTAATATGTTTAATTAAATTGGTTGATACAAAACTTGAAACGGACTATTATTCTTCCTTTTTTGGGTTGAATAATTCATTTTCAGCTGTAGTACACCACAATCCATTAAAATCAAAGTATGTAGAACTGGTACGGGTTTAAAGAATGGTTTTATCTAAGTTTTGGGTATTCGGATCTAAGAACTGGAATTGGTTGTTTGGAATCTAAACCAGTTTTAGGAACCGGACAGGTTTTGTAAAAAGTTTAAAATATACAAATTTCATTCATTTAAAGCTGTACAGATTCATATATCGGTCCAATTTTCAGTCCTACAAAATCTCATTAACCGGTTTTTGGATTTTCTAGGTTAGGGTCCATCTGGACCAGGTTTGGGCCCCCACTTTCATTCCTCCTTTCAACCACTTTACCCTCTAAACGACTATGAATTTAACCATTCGACCTCTCAAACACTTGCTCCATCTAGTTCACTTTTTTTCTTATGCATATCCTCTTTCTACTTGTGTTTCTATTTGTGTTTCTACACATTTACAAGATCTAAACCCTTACTTGCAACCCAACACATACTTGACAAGAAAATAAACAGATTAACACAAAACAATCATTAAACGGGTCATGTTAGAATCCAGCTCTTTTAACCCGACATGAACTTGCACGATACGACACATTTGCCAAGTTTAGTCCAAGCAAACACTGTTTCTGTTTGATAAATGACAAGGTATTAAAAGGGTTGAAGTGTATGATAAAAAAAATATATTTACAAAGATTCACATATCCTAAGTTATTTAAACAACTATAGCAATCTGTTTTTTTTTTTTTTTTCTTAATTTTACATCAACCAAGTCGAAGGTTGTAACTCCTGCCTTGGTGTTTTGACAGGCAGGGGTAGTCAGCCACCTTTGTTTTTGTGATTTTCATGAAATTTTCTCTGATGGTATTTCTCTCCCTACCATTTATTTCCGAATGCCAATCCACATCCTTTGGATGGGACAAATGACAAATCAAATGGTTTATCATATCTCATCGCTAAGATTTTTTATTTTTATTTTTATTTTTATTTTTATTTTTCAATGGCAAAACAGCCAAAACTGGTCAATTGAAAAACAATCCTCCATGCATCACCCATTTCACAAATCCATCAGGATACTCCCCTGCAGCACCACTCGCATTTCCATCCTTTTGCTCTTCTCCCTACAAATGTTTCCAACATATAATTAGATATTATGTAAAAAAAACAAAAAGAAAAAATTAAAATAGAAAATACCTTGACATGCAGACATGATTCAGAATCACTCATTCCCTTCACCACATTCTCAGTTGATTGACCAGCAACAGGGGAGCCTATGAGCATTGACCTGAAACAAAGAAAGTCAAAATCAAATAAAGAAGGGATAAAACTTAAAAGCATATGATGATATTGGTGGGTGAGGCATTGAGGTTGAGTTACCTTTCATATTGTTCATCTTCACATGAATTCCCAGATGAGGAAATCCAATCCACATCAAGAAAATTCGAACAGTTGAAAGAATCCAAACGTTTGTTGTAAAATATCCGATCACTATTCGGATAATCTTCAGAATGAGCATCTACAAGAATCTGCCTACGAGACATCGACGGCGTATACCTACATCCATGTTTCAATCCTTAAAAAAACATGAAACTCACTACAATACATCTTGCCATGTCATTATGGGACCAAAAATCAAATCAAACCTCGGGTAAGACGAGTCACTTTCACACGTTGAAATTTCAGGTGATGATTCCGATAACCCTTTCCTACCACTATCTTCTGTTTCTTCAGGATACAAATGCTCAGACTCTTCATTCTTCTCTCCGTTTTCAATCGCTGAGCTGTCATCAACTAGAATGTTCCCATCTGACAAAGACCTTTGAAATGGTGCCCTAGAAAAACATCAGTACATGGAAATATAAATTTGCCTGTACTTAAACCGGTAATAATGGTGTTTAAACCTTAAGGATCTATTGTGTACAATTAAAACAACAGGGACCGATTTTGTACCTTGTATTCTCCTCAAAGAAGTTAGAACCACGGCTTCCAACATCAAAATGCTGGTCTGAATCCAATTCCCATAACGCAGGTTTACCAACTTGTGGCTGATAGTGACCCAAGAACCTGTACAAAATCATACAATTGAATAACAATGATTGATTTTATATACACACGTGACATTTTTTTTTCAGATTGTTTATCTTACACATTAATGGCGTCCTGTTTTTCTGCATCCATGTATGCATTACTGTAGTAACGTTGTAGAGTTCTGAA